GAAGAAAAAAGACATCATCATCCTGTTCAAAGCTGAAAGAGGAAGGCAAAGACAACAAATATATATATAATTCACTGGAAAATTCATAATCAGGGAAATATAGTTCTGGTTGTACCTCAGTATGTATATCAACCATGTTTTTCCATGCAGGATAATGGAATGAGAAACAAAAAATTTATCTTCTGTTTAAAATAAAGATTGGCCTTAGGAAAAATTTTACCTAGTATGTGTGATTCTTTCAGATTTCAATCCTTGTGTTGATGGTATCTCTATCAAGCAAAAAAATTGGAAAAAATATATCAGTGAAAATTTCAATATGATCATGTGTTGTTTCACTTGATTTTAATGTTGAACACACCTAACTGTTTAGATAAGGAATCTTATTTCTTGCATACTCCATGAATGCTAGATGATATCTCAAAAACTCTTCATTATCTTTTGGATAGACAGCTGTGTATGATGTGAGTTTTGATTCTTCATTCCCATATTTTAAAAACCATTTGGAAAGCTCATCATTCTTTTCTGTCAGGGTTGATACAGAATTTCTAATATAATAGAAATAGGAGGACCTAGACTGTTCCAGGAGTGATTGGAGCAGTGCTTGAAAGTCATTGATCTCTTTTTCTTTTTTCTTCAATCCCCATGGAAATTTCTGGTATAAAAGACTCAAAATTGGATTCTTTGTCTGCTCTGTTGAAAATGATATCTTGATGATTCCAGGGAATATGCTATTTTCAACAATAGCAAGGATTTCACATATGTCACGTGTCAATCTATACATATCCTCACTATCTTGTCTCAATGTAAAAATGAGCATACTGTGAAGATTTCTAACATCAATTTTGAATTCCTCTGGGATTTCTATAGTGTTTTCAAATATATCTTTGTTCTCATCCAAGTCTAGTGGGTGTTTGGGCTTTCTGTGTGCATATTCAAACCAATCATGATATTTTTCAATAGAGAATGAATTGAAAAAGGCAATGAATTCTTCATTTTCAGCAAAGTATTTATATTCAGCTTCATTTCTAATCTTCCATTTCAGATTGTAAAATGATAGTTCAATGTTGACCATTAACCAAGTTTCTTCACTAAAGACTAGTTTTCATTTTTAATTTTGAAAAAAAGCAGAAAATAACCAGTTTGAAAGTCAAAACAGGGAATGTTTTTTTTTTTTTTGAAAAATTCAATTGAGAAACTCACCATTGAAAAATTCAAAACCCATTTTCCACATCCAATGTCCTGTTATATTTGACATTCCTTCTTGTATATCTTTTCCCAATTTATGTGTAAGATAAATTATGTGGTCACGGCTTGCCATCCACAAACTTTTGTCTGCTTGGAATATTTGTTTGACATGTTCCTCATTGATGAATTTATTCTTGAACAGGAGATCAATAGCTCCCCAAAGATATTGAAATATCTTCCTGTCTTCAATAATTTTACTCTTATTGTAGGATATATTAGAATAATGGTATTCATAGTGACATCCAGAAAGGATTTGCTTCACTTCATGGACAAATGAATTCACAAAAGCCTCTATTCCACCAGGTAAAAGTATTTCTGAAGACACAATTTCATAGTGGTGCAATTGCTTTCCCCTCATGCTGTCTTCACTATATTTTTGAAGCTTGGGATGTAATATTTTTAGGTCAAGGAGTTTCAGTTTTTGGAAGGTAACTATTTTCTCATGAATGATATTTGAAGATTCCAAATCATTCATGAAGTCTTCAGATCTTGCTCCTTGAAATCCTGTTGCCCATTTATATTGATCTGAAATTTCCTCCAATAGAATCTGGAGCTTCTTGCAATCGTCATCAAATGCATTCAATTTATCTAAAAGCACAATGAAAATCTTGATTAGTCTGGTGTTTAATTTACCTAAATAATAATATTAGAGTGGAATGACCTTCATTCTCTTTGAAGTATAAATTTTGATCCAAAACTTGAAATAAAGTCATGATCAGCATCCATCATTTTCTAACTCGAAGCACTCTTCACCTAATTTTTGGAATTTTTAGAATTAATTTACATTTCTTATAAGCCAAATCATTATTTGGTATCCAACCTTCTATAAATCTTGGGACAGAGGATTTATTGTCCCCCCCTTCTTCTCTGATGACTGTTCCCAAAGCTTGGAATGAGCCTGATACTGAGAAATCTTGATCTGAACTTTGAAGCAATTGCCTGTTCTCTCTCACAAGGGGAATTCCTGTCAAATATTGGAGGAGCAAGGCATTCAAGTTTGTTGAATGAAAAATCATTATTGTTCTGTATCAAATTACTTTTATAAAAAGACTACATACCTCTCTGACTGGTAGTAGTTCCACCAATTTCAGCAGCCGTGAAAGGAGCAGGTGCTAAAACTGTAGCTGGAAGAATAGTCAAGCTGAAAATTAGGAATTCACAAAACATTCTCTAAAATGAATACTGAGTAAGTGAAGGTTTTGGTTTGGCATAACAAGTGGGATCTATTCCCTTATTATATGTGTCAAAATCACAACAGTAGGCCATCTCTGAACTTGGAACATCTCGGCAGGACCTTATTTAATGTATGTACAAATGTAATTCACCATCTCCGCACATGAATGCATACACTTTATATTAATACTGCTGGCTGCGCATAAATCTTGTGTTGAAATTGAAACTTGACCTCATCTTTTATCACACTGATCATCAATGCTATTGCTATGGATGTAACTTGATCTCACAAATTTTCAAGTTACTTAACAAACATATAGATCATCATACTGAGTATTTAACATTTATAAAATTTGCAAGAATACATATACTATTAGTGACTGGTCCTCATGGCTGATGTACTCTATATCTTACAAGAAGCGGGTTTGGATTAGCTAAAATAAGAGGCTGGGAGCCTGGGTTGAGGTATCATTGCCAGTACATAGTAACAGTTGTTTTTCAACGGGGATATAATCAAAAAAATTTCACAGTGTTGATTGGAGTTAGGCGCCAATTATAAACACCGTTTTGGAAATATTTCCAGAACATTTTACAAACATTTTGTTTTTCAGGATAGTCAGGAATCTGGCAATAAAAAAAACCAAAATGGGTCCAAAGGAGCCCATGGACCTCCTTTGGACACATTTTGAGCTCTACATTTTTTTTGTCACAACTACAGGCAAACAGGAGGTGTATTCAAAACCCCCATTGAGTGGAACCTCTGTACCATACAGTGGTAAACTAGTACAGTGCACAAAATCTTGACGAGATCAATTTGGAATCAGGTCGGGTGGGTCAGCGACAGGGTCTAGCCATCTCCCAAGCCTCTATCTCTCTCTTCCCCCTCTCCCTCCCCCCCACGCGCGCGCCTGGTTTTGGTCATTTGTAATTGTCTCCATCATGGTCAACTTGGGCAAAGATACCAGTGTGGCGTGAGGTTTTCTGGAGCCGAGTTCAAGCCCGTTTGGTCACCTGTGACTGGTGCGGGGTGCAAATGTTTATAACTGCAACCCCATTTTGAAGTCGTTTTGGAAATGTTTTGGCACGAAAATTTGCGCTTTCAAAAAGCCAAAACCAACTGCGAAAATGTTTCAAAAATGTTTCAAAAAAATTGCCAAAACATTGTTTATAATTGGCGCCTTGAGAATGCGGACCATATTTATACTTCACTGGAACCAACGCTGTAAGTGGTACAATACAGTCCTGTACTGGACATATACCTGTATTGTATCTGTAAAAAAAAAATTTCTCTAGATACATCCTGTATTGTATTGCTTACTCAATACAAAAAACTTGTAATGGATCAAATTTTCAATACAAGCATGGTGAAACTACAAAAAACTTGTATTGGATCAAATTTTCAATACAAGCATGGTAAAAAACCTGTATTGTATTGATTGAGCAATCCAATACAAGTTTTTTTTGGATACATCTGTAACTTTTTTTTCTAAATTTTTGTAAACTCATAATTTTATTGTAAAATTGTCAAAAAAAGTTCTGCTCAGAAAACTACAATGATGTTGAAATTGTTGGGACATGTTTTGTTCTCTGGTTATCCTCATCTGCCGTAAACTGATCAATGATCTGGCATACCGTCTCAAAATTACCATCGGGCTTCATTCCCTGAAGCAACCATTGATGAGAGCTGACACATCTCTCAATCGTGCGTTCTCCCAAGCTACCTCGGTCATGCCCACAGGTATCTGCAGCAGCCGAAAAACAGCGCTCCACGCTTGCTGAAGTTGAACAGCAGGACAAGTAGTCTCTCACCAGTTGAGACAGGATAGGGAATTCCTGATGATGGTCCTGAAAAACAAGCACAATATGTATGTTAATTTTAACAAAATAATAAATAACATGCAATGAATCATGATCCTGCTTACCCTCCACCACAACTGAGGGTCAGAAGCTTGTTCAGTTGGTGATTTGTATTTCCG